TGAATTGTGGCTGTTCCTGCCAGGTATACTAGTAGTGCATTAAATAGGTATAGCCACTTCGAGATGACCTTATTGTTCACCAGCTAGTTATCTGTGATAGTAATCTATGCTAACTGACAGCACAGCTGTATTATAGCTGGGATGGTAATGAGGGTTCGAGATATAAGTGCCAGGAAGATGGCTGTGTCAACCACGTCAGCCACTTATAAGCACATCTTTGGCAGCTCTTGAAAACGCAGCTCCTACTCCCTAAGACAGAAAGAGAAAGTTGATTCTTAACTCATGATACTGTCTCACTGGATCATAGTTTCATAGTTTCTAGGGTCGGAAGGGACCTGAGCAGATCATCTAGTCTGACCCCCTGCTATGGCAGGAAGAGCACTGGGGTCAAACAACCCCAGTAAGGTGGTCATCCAACCTCCTCTTAAAACCCCCCAGGGTGGGAGCCTGCACCACCTCACTTGGAAGCTGGTTCTAGACCCTAGCCACCCTGACCGTTGTGTCCCTGTGCAGCAGTGTCATGTGGCCAAACCAGAGCAGGCATCATCTTTCTACTTGTATCTTGCAGCTCCCCTGATATTGCATTCTTCCTAGTCAGACATTCCTCATTCAGACGCTTTTCAATTTCCTGACAGTTGCCCTTAGAAAACTTATTTATATAGTCTGTAACCAGCTGAAATCCCCGTTCCTTGGAACTTGAGTCTCTGAACTTTACATGCAATCAGGATGTAATAAGCTCTGTACATTACCAGCTTTGCTTCCCTGGGGATGTTTCTGTCTCAGACTAACTCTTTAACAATTAGTTAAAAGTTTCCTGCAAGCTGCAACCTCCTTGTCAATTCTTTTCCAGTCTTTCTGTCACTAATGAACACTGAGTCAAGGTATTTAAATTCAACTACAGTGAAGATTTTACTGCTTGATGTAATTGTTCTTTCTGTGGGGTACCATTTTTGGCAACAACCATTGTCTTGCTTTTATCTTTACTAATCTGCACCTGGAATTCTTCTATAAACACATCCATCCTGTCCTTTCCACCCCAAATATTCACATTCTCACTACTCTTACCACTTAGCTGTTCAAATAAAACACAACAAAAATTCAGTCACTGCACTAAGGAGACATGCAAAACCCTCAGTGTACAACTGTGAATTCTAGTACTCTCCTCTGACGGGCTTTAAATGTTTTTCATGAAATATTTCCCATCATTTTTACTAAAAGACTTTTCTAACTGTCTTTATGAATTCTCTAAGACTGCATTAACACAGTCGATTGCTTCCAACTGCACCCTCTTAAAATCAGGTCCATTGGAGAGTCAATAAGAAAGCAATCACACTGAAGTGTGCTTGCTACAGAGGGAGGAAGAGCTGTTGGATCAGTGCATGTGTGTCTGGAACTCACACAGCTTAAGCCAATTTTTGTGCCCATGGAGCAGTTCATTTCTTGGCAGCTGAATCATGACAAAGCTCCAAGGCTGCAGCAGCCCACAGCCTGCTGTGACTCAGTGACCACAGAACCTAATTTGTGCTGGATAAAGCCCTAAAGAGATTAACTGACTCATAACATATGCTACTTTACCTTCTACAAACGAACCTCAGATACAGTGCCATGTTTCTGATCTCCATCTAAATTTTGCAAATATGCCATCACTTAGTCACAGATTTGGGGAACCTGGAAAAAAATCTTAATTTATCATTCATGAATTCTTTGCCAGCACTTCAAACAGGAAGCATTTGTGCATTATCTGCCAGGGATATGACATTTTACATTAGGAAGCCAACAAAAGTGTTTGCATATTCATTTTATGACACCTTCAAGAAACAACAATGCAGGTGTTTTACCTGAGGCACTGGGAAAGACAGGATATCACTGATAATGCTGAGAGTCTGTAACAGCTGAAGGACAGGCTAAAAGAAAAGAGATTGCCCAAGCCTGCAAGCTCCTAGTATCTGCATAGGTTTGGAGGGCACTAAGTGTGTTTAGCCACTTAAAAGACTAGACGCAGATTAAGGATGGATAAAAGTCTATAGGGCTACGATTTTCAAGACAGCCTAAGAGTTTGGCATCTGGTAAATTTTAATGGGCCATTTCAATGAAGATTTTGCCATTGCTTTCAATGGGAGCTGGTTCTGGTTGTAAATTCAGCAACACAGATAAAAATAAAGATCAACACTCATCATGAATTTACTTTGAAAATGAGCTCTCCACCCCCCCCACCTGAAAGATAAAATGCATGTGAAAGAAATTGCTAAATAACTCCTTCCTCATTGGTGTAATTTCAAAGCTTAACAAGTCAAATATATTTGGGATTTCAGAAGGTGTACTCAAATGATATATCAGTTAATAATTACACAATTATTGAAGGAAGGAACTCTTAATAATATTAGAAAGGAGTTCTTGGATTATTACAGAATATCCATTAGCAGCTTCTCATACATTAAAATCTTATGTGCTTGATGCTGAGTCCTCCCTGGTTCTTCCTGGCTATCCTTTTAGGATGAGATTTTTTCCAGAGGGACTAAGGGAGCTAAGCACCAAAATCTCATTCTCAGCCAAGGTGCCACAGTACCCTGGGGTGCCTTGAGGTCCTTTTAAGGGTGCCACAGGGTGCCATGCAATATTAGCACTGGTAGGTGTGCAAATATGATTCACAAATTAAACCTTGAGCTTTCAAACAGAAATGGATAATGTTAAAAACATTCTGACTGGTTGAGTCTTTCTAAGCTGTTTCTGACAGAACAATTGCAGAGTTATTTTTCTGTAATCAAACCATGAGCGTTTGCATGTGCTGAGGGGTGTCTGGAGCCTAAAAAAATTGAAAACAACTAATCTGACTCTTTTAGAAACCTTTAAAAGCTAAGACATAGGCCCTGTACATTGGTTTTAAAAAGTAGCAGACATTCAGTCTAACTTAAGTGCATTCTGTGAGCACTACTTTGAGAAAAATTGGGATAAAACTATACTAGTGCATGCTATACCAGTGTAGATGCTGTGTGTCTGCAGCTTATCCTGGGATAGCCACTTGGCCAGAGCAAACTGGTTCTTAAAAGCTCACCCATCACCTACTGGCGAGATGTTATAATACTGGACGCAGGAAGCTGGTCTTCTGCGCATTCCAGATTCTGGTGTAATTTATATCCGTGTACATGACTGATGCAAATTATACCACTGTAAACATATTGGGTGCCCAGGACCTTTGACTGATATTGACCCTTGATCAGTGCTCAATACTTGATGCATCTGAGGAAGACAAATTCCATCCCACACCCTATCATCATGTCCACATGTTGCAACAGTGCTATGTCTCCTCATAGGGAGAACATTTCTCTCTCAGCTCTAAGAAGCCACCAGCTTATTCCATGAAGCACAAGGACTGATTTCTGAGCTAGCTCATATGGCTACAGACTTTCATGATGCTCACAAAGTGATCTAATCAGTTGTTTTTATTCCTCTTAAATTATATCCTTCATTGGCTCTCAGTGCATTGCAATGAACGGGCAGATCAGTCCCTGTAGGTTGTTGATGGGCTCTTCCTCTCTCTTTCCTCTTCTTCACAGACAACTATCAGCAGCGAGGCACAAGTCATTCTCTCAGGGCCTCCAGAAACCCGAACATCAGAAGGCATCAAACTGGTATGATTTAAGTAAAAAGAGTTGGATGAATTTAGTAGTGAATAATCAAATGCACAAATACCCTCTAGGGAATGATTGACTAGGTTGCAGTACTGCCAAAAAGACTGGGGGATTGTAGTGGGCTGTTAAATGAATGGGAGTCAACAGTGTGCTCCCATTACAAAAAAAACAAACAAACCAAAAACAAAAAAAGCCAATAGCAAATAGACTGTATTAACAGGAGTGTGGCCTGCAAGTGAAGAGGAGTGATTCATCCACTCGATTTAGCACTAGTGAGACCTGAGCTGGGTTACTGTGTCCAATTTTGGGAATGACACTTCAAGAAAGATGTGGACAGTTTGGAAAGAGTTCAGTAGGGATCAGCAAAAATGGTTAGAAGTCTAGGAAACATAGTTTACAAGGAAAGATTAGAAGAATTGGGCTGATTTAATCTGGAGAAGACTGAGGGGGGATTTGATAACAGTCTTGAAATCTCTGAAATAGCTTGAAATTCCACAGAAGGCTGAATTAGGCGACCTCCTAAGGTTTCTCCATGCCCTATTTTTCTGTGACTTTATGCAAGTCAAATGGACCCCTGATCTTCAAGCTATTGATCCGTATGTACATTTATATAAAGGCCCAACCACAAAGAGCCAATTCTTTAGCTGTTGCAAAATTGTCAGATCTCCTTTGACTTCAACAGAATTACCCCAGTTTATACAGGTGAGGATTTCTCCCAGTGCTCAAACTTGGATTTAAACATTTGGGGGTTTGGGGGTTCTTCAGCTCTCAGGGGTACCAATTTAGTGGTAAGCTTTCTGGTGAAAACCTTAAGGGAAAAATAAAGAGTTTGAAAATATAATTGGCAGAAAGCAGACTAGAAGCAGCTGTCTCAGCAGACTTACTCCATTCAGATCAAACATAGATGTTTGGAAATAACTCACATTCTCTGTATATTTAACTTCAAGCTTTCCATTTGTTTGGAGGCAATCAGAGATTTGTACTCAAACAAGATTATTCTCACTCGGTTTTTATTCATGAAGCACAGTATTCATTCCACACCAATATAGAACTGTCAGTTTGGCACGTGTAACATAGGTAGTTTATAGGATAAAAAGTGCTTCTTGTTTTATTTTGCCATCTTTCTGTCAGACATGCCTGAATGCAAATAGAGGCCTCTTTTCCCCCAGAATACAGCTTTCTGCACTAACTTAAGTGTGCTCATTAAGAAAAAAAAGTAAAGTGGTAACTTTAACTTATAGTGGGCGCACCTACATGTGCCCCAAAAGCGGCTTTGTTACTGCGCCATCATTTAGTACTTCCTTTTGGAAGTACTAAATGGTGGCGCAGTAACAGCCCATACTGTGACATGCGTGTGGCACAGTTATTTTGAGCTGCTGCATCGCTATAGCAATGCACTATAACAAGGGAGTGCATTACTACGGCGACACGGTTTGTGACCACCAACACAACGCTGCTGTAGTGCATTGCTTGTAGATGCACTCGCCGTGTGATTATTATTATTACTACTACTTTAAAATCTCTAGGATATCTGTGAATCATTCTTGTCATAGGAACACTGATATCTGCCGTACAATCTCTAGGAAAGCAGTTCTCTTCCAAGGTTCAGAGCTTTTCCTGTGTTGTTTGTAGAGATTTTCTGTTGTCAGCAGGGGAAACACTGAAAGGATATAATTTTTGCTCCACCAGCTCTGTTAACCTGATTTGTTCTTTTCTTTTTAATTCTTCCATCACTGTCTGCTTATTTTTGAGGAGGTGTATACCAAGGTTTTAATTCTAGTATTTATAGGCTTAAATAATATAGTAATGTACCTGCCTATTTTCAGAACTATCTGTGAACCCACGTCACATTGTGGCTATTAAAATCAGTTGCAGGAGGAATCCAAGGTGACAGAATGTAATTACCTGAGTTGGAATCTGGCCAAGATGTGCTAGCACCTGCGTTCTTCTGCAAAAATATCTCCGGGTCCTAGAATTAAATCCTCGGAGGAAATAGACAACTGAGCAACTGTCACATCCTGGACAGTGCTCTGATTTGCATTACCCGCTGCATGGTGCTAAGCAGCTTTAAGAATACCTTTGCTACCTCAACTCTTATTGACTTCAGTGGGAGGTTAAGGTATAGAATACCTGGAGTGCTCAGCACCACGCATGATATTGTCCCTGGATTGTAATCCTGAAGGTCATAATTACTCCTCTTACTGGTAAATGAAAAGAGGCTGGAGACAGCGTCTGTTTAGAAGACAAAAGAGGAAACTTGTTGTACAAAAGTTTAAGAATCATTGATGTAGGCCAAGATTTACTAAAGTGGCTATGTAATTTTCAGGGACTCCATTTAAGGAAGCCTACGTTGAGATCCTGGAATGGGGATTGATTTCCAAAGAGAGATCTGTGCAATTCACACTATCCATGCCACATGTGCATGGCTGGAGGCGTGAGTGTGGGATCGTGCATTAGATCCCATCATCCCTTGCTTCTGGTGCAGGGGGAGCTTAGGATCTTTTCCCTCTGTAATTGCAAAAAGCAAGCTTCTGCAGCTAGGAACCCCACAGGATCCCGCTGCGGTGATCCTCCAGCCCTGGGGGTTTCCTGCATCCTGGAGCCTTGGGGATCATGACAGCCACGATCCCCAGGTCCTGGGGGCTTCACACCCCCACAAGCCCTGGGGATCACAGCAGCCACAATTCCCAGGGCCTGAGGGTTTCACACACCCATGAGCTCTAGAGATCATGGAAGCTGCAGTCCCCAGGGCCCAGGGTGTTTTCACTGGGCTTTACATAGCTCTGCAGTTGTGAGCCCTGTTAGCTGACTGGGTTCCCAGCTGGAGGGAGACCCTACTAGATGTGAAAATGAAAGCTTGATAGAAACCAGCTATACAATTAATACATATTTTCAAAGTCTAACTTTTTATATATATAAAGTTCCAACCACCTAAAAAGTTAGACTTTGAAAATATGTATAACTCTCTCTCTGTATCTATATGTAAAGACAAGCTACTTTACACCTGTAGTTTGTCTCCAACTAGTTTGTACAACCAATCAGTTAATTGCTCAATACCTGTAATGTGTAGGTGGGGGCTTGGAGGTAGAAGAGGGCTTAACTGGAGTGGTTTTGTACTTCAGTGGTTATTGGCTGCCCTAATCTATATCACAGTCCTACCAGCCTCTTCTGTCACTGAAGAGCACAAGAAAGTTCCCTTTTCACCCCTGCACCAATACTAATCCTAGCATAGACATGAATTTGGCTTTAAATCCTTCTTCTTTCTACTCTTTTCAAGTCAGATCTTAATGAAGTGCTTAATGCCCCAGTGAAGTGATGAATACCTTCAGCTGCTTACATGCATCTCTCACAGGAGCAAACTACTCCTGAGATCTTGGCTTCTAAAGAAAAAATGTTATCTATTTTCGTGCTTCAGCTCCTGCTCAGAAAACAAACCCTCCCGTCACTGCTTCCCAGCCTCCCCAGCTATCTTGGTTTAGATTTTCTAAATCCCATGATAACAAAACTCATTAACCCCTTTCCCCAATCACTATTTTGTGTCCCCAATTAGGCCATGCTGTCATTGAAGTCAACAGTTGGTACTTTCTCAGAATACCCTGTTCACATCCAGGAGAAGCTGGCACAGCTGGGTTGGTATGAATGGTAAGTTTGCTGTGATGTCATTGGTGATCTTAAAAACAAGAGGATAAATACTGAAGCCTATTTGATAGATATCTTTCATCTGAAATAGGCAAAAGATTCAGGTAGATGTGAAGAGGAGCAAAAATATGGAATCAATGACAAAGTATGTGAAGGATTGGCAGTTCATGGCCAAAATAAGAAGCAAGCACTCTGAAATTACCTAAATAGGCAATAATTGATTAATCAGATGACTCAAAACCATATAGACATTGCATGTGAACTAATTCAACATATGTAACCATTACTGGAATCTTCCATTTTGCCTTCTCTTACTCATCACTTCGCCTTTTAAATTAAGCCCATTCCTGCGATCAGGTAAGAATATATGGAGCCTTTCCAAAGGGAGTCCAGAATGGATGGTGAGGTTGTCCACACAGACCTCATGTGCACTGTATTATAGATCTACCATTGTAAACTCATAAAGATGGAGATCAGGTTTTCCTATGTGTTCACAGAGCAATAGAAGCAGTGAGTCCTAATTCTGATCTGGGTATTTGGGCACCTCCACACAAATAACCACCTTCTCATTATCAGAAAGGAAGGAGGGAAGACCTGGGTAATTATAGGGCAATTAGCCTAACTTCTATCCCAGGGAAAATCCTGGAAAAATTCATCAAGGAGTCTGTCTGCAGTAAGCTTGCAGAAGGTAGGGTTCTGAATGACAGCCAGCATGGCTTTCTTGTGGGCAGGTCTTGTCTTACTAACCTCATCTCCTTTTATGATCAGGTAACTCACCACCTGGATAAGGGAGAGGAGGCTGACATTGTATACCTTGACTTCCAAAGGGCCTTTGATCTAGTATCCCATGATGTCCTTGTGAGTAAATTGGAAGACTGTGGACTCAACTGTGAGACAGCTAGGTGGGTAGGGAGCTGGTTGCAGGGTAGGACACGGAGTTCTAATGAACAGATCTGTGTCGTCCATCCTGGTGAGAAGTGGGCAGTGGTGTCCCTCAGGTGTCAGTGCTTGGTCCAGTGCTTTTCAACATCTTTATCAATGGTTTGGATATGGGGGTGAAGAGCTCACTGGGCAAGTTCATGGATGACACCAAGTTATGGGGAAGCATGGTCACGCTTGAAGATAGGCTGCAGATACAGGCGGACCTAGACAGGCTGGCAGGGTGGGCAGATTGGAATCAAATGAAGTTCAATCAATGTTGACAAATGTAAAGAGCTCCATCTGGGGACAACCCCCCCTTCCCCCTTCCTCCACACCACAAATGAAAGGGACCTGGGGTAATAATAGACCACAGTATGAATATGAGCCAGCAGTGTGATGCCGTAGCCAATTGGGCAAATAATACCCTGGCATGCATTAATCGATGTATCGCCAGAAAAACTAGGGAAGTGATTCTTCCACTCTACTCAGCATTGGTGAGACTGCAGCTGGACTACTGCATCCAGTTCTGGGTGGCACACTTCAACAAGGATGTGGTAAAGCTCAAGAGAGTCCAGAGAAGGGCCACACATATGATCAGAGAGTTGCATGGCAAGCCGAACGAGGAAAGGCTGAGGGATCTGGGATTCTCCAGTCTGAAAATGAGAAGGCTGATAGGGGAGTTGATAGTGGCTTAAAGCTACATCGGGGGCATACATCAAAGGCTTGGTGAACAACTTCACCAGGACACCCGTGGGGATAATTGGAGTAATGGCCATAAACTCCTGGAAGACTGTTTCAGGCTCAACATTAGAAAAAACTTCTTCACAGCCAGGGTGTCCAGACTGTGGAATAGGCTCCCTCCAAAGGTGGGGCAGTCACCAACCCTGGAAATCTTCAAGAGGAGACTAAATGATCACCTTGCTGGGGTCACCTGACCCCAGTTGTCTTTCCTGCCTGGTGCAGGGGGCTGGACCTGATGATCTTGTGAGGTCCCTTCCAGCCTTAAAATCTATTAATCATTACCATTATTAATATTTTGACACCGCATCTACAAAGCCTGAGTACAGATAGTATTGAATGTAGTATTAAGGCCCAGAAAGGAAGCTACTTTTATGGCTTGTTTCCCCATGAAATGGGGATAATAGTACTGTCTTGCTTCAACTGGAGAATATACTGTGAGAGTGTACTGTGGAAATGCTGAGATACTAGAGTGAAGAGGGTTCTATGCATGTACATGTGTGTATACACATTGCACCTATTGACTAAATAAGGTGTGTGTGTGTGCGCATGTGTGTGTGCGCGTGTGTGTATAAATATAGAACAAGAGAGAGTAAGAGAGTGCACAAGCTTTCAGGAACTGAAGTTCACTTCATCTGAAGCAATCTTTGGTTCACAAAGGCTTGTTTTCCTTCTATATATATCTAATTTGATTAGTCTATATGGTCATATTCACAAATTACACTTTCACTGGTATAAATGATTGGAAACCAGTCTATACCCATAACAACAGAAGTTTGGTTTAAAAATGGAAGAATTTTTTACCCCCCACCAGAGGTCAAATGTGCGCTCTGTTTGCTACCGATTTTAACTATGCCACTTACAGAAAACCGTGTAGCTTAGATCAATTCTGCCTTGGGATTTTTGAATGCCTGTACCTAGCCTAAAGGTACATATCTACCATGCCTTCTAAATGACTTCAGACTAACATGGCTAACTACCTCTCTCTGTAGACAAATTAACGTAGATACAGACCTAGATAAAAATAAATCCCCATCAAATAATTTTAAAATAATTTGTTTTTTAAGTGAATTTTCTACTTTTCAGGGTCTTGACTAATGATTTTTCAGAAGAACTGCAGTTTTGGAGCCCATTCCCAGTCAGGATTCATTTTTCTTTTAAAAACCAAAAAAAAAACCCCAAAAAAACAAGTCATGAAAAACCTCCAGTGGAGAGTTTCCTCTAAATCTTTAAGGGATAATTAAGTCTTTCACTTTTTTATTTCATAATTAAATTTGTCATCCCTTTGTCAACTTCGCATTTATGGGCCTAAAAATGACTAGTTAATATTTTTTTCATTAATTGTTGTGTGGCCTTTCCTTCATAGATATAGTTTTTAACACTCTTATTTGTCACTCCAGTGAAGCAGAGTTGAATGAGCTATTTAGCCATATAATAAAGTAACCATGAGTGAAGCAAGAGAAGTACTGAACTGGTGCTATTATTTCAACAAAATCTTTTCAGCAATTGCCTTCTCTTCATATAATGCTTTGTGCCATAATTTCACTAAGTGACAGTGTGAATGTAATTACTTTGATTCAGAGTGCTGGCATCTTACAGGTAACAAATTATTCTGCCCTCCAATGAGTAATAATTCAATTATTCAGCAGGTATATAACTGTTCAAAATAGCCTATTCTCATTTCACAAACATCATATTTACTGCTGGAAATAAACTGTTTCTGCGAAGTGAAATATTAGATCTATATATCTCGGTTCATGTAAGCTAACAAATACATCAACACATAACTACATACCTTCAGAATTTTTAACACTAGAGAGACTAAAGAGATGTTGATACATTCTGTAATCCATCTTACTGGATTTGTGTGTGTGTGTGTGTGTGTGTGTGTGTGTGTGTATACACACATATAGTTTGCCTATTTATTGCTTGGTGCTGTTATTTGTATTGAGATTTTAAACTAAAAATCAAGCAGTGACTGTTTACATACTGAGCCAGCTTCTTATCTCTATTTTATCCATGTTCGAATGGAATTACTCAAGTGCAACAGAAAGCAAAATTGGGCCAAGTCACTGGGTATAGTTCTTCTCACTCAGGTATCATATATATCAAGTCTGACCTTATGGAAATCAATGGAATATAAAACCAGTGTAGGCAAGACTGAATGCTCATTGCATCTTGAAAGAGATCAGTTGGGCATCTGTCTTCAAGAGAGGGTTCCAAACCGTGAAATCCAAGTTGATAGTGGCACCTTCCCATAGTCCTAAGGAAGAGTTGGATTTTGTAAGCATTTTGTATTGACCTCTTGATACAGCTTACCACTTACCATGCTGACTACTGTGAATGCCATTGTTGGACAACTAACTTATTCCCATGTAAGTCAATCTTGTCATAAGTCTTACTGTGATCGTTATATTAATCTAGTGGGGAAATTCGCTGCACACTGTGAATACTTTTACCCAGAACATTTAACTCATCTGTTCACAGAAGTTAAAATTCACTACTGGCTCTAGTCCTAGTGCCATTCAAGTCAGTACCAAAACTGTCACTGAATTAATTGAGGTATGAATTTTATCAGGAGTGTAGGTTCCTAAGTCAGAGCTGTAGATCACCCTATAATGACAAGGCAATGCTAAATATTTTGACACCTACATTATTTTGTGGATTTAGTCATTACCATCTAAAGCACTTAAAAAAACAATGGGAATCAGATTATAAAGTCACTTAGGTGTTTTTGAAAATATTAATCTCATGAGTTTGATACAAGCATATGATTTTATAACTTGCAGTAACTCAGTTCCAAAGAAAGTAAATTCACTTCCAGATGTACCAAAGTCTTGTAATAAAGGACCATGAATGATAACTAAAATAAGGCTAGTGATGAATGCCTATAAGGAAAGATGAGAAAAATGAAAAGCAGACTACAGAGGAAATTAAACTTTATATCTACAAGTTTGATATCCAGGGACTCAATTCTTCTTTCCAATATTTAGACACCTCTCCATAAGTCTTAAAAAATATCTACTGGATCATGTGCCTGCATACACGTAACGGATTTTTCTAAGTTTTTGAAAATGCAACCCCTTATGCTAAGCAACGGAATAAAGCCCTCAAATGTTTTGACCTGCTAGTATGCAGCAGAAATGGGATAGAGAACTCAGAAGTCCTGACCTCCAACTCTCTCCTCTAGGGCTTCTTTCAAATTAATGGCACTATGCACACACTCAAAGGTAAGCATATAGAAAGTCTTTTCATTACTGGGGACCAAGAGCTACCATGTAGTTCTTCAGGGAAAATTCCTTGCATATTGTAGATACATTTAAGCAGCACGTGTAGCTCATGTG